AAAGAAAGAAAGAAAGAAAGAAAGAAAAAGAAAGAAAGAAAGAAAGGAAGGAAGGAAGGAAATATAATGACTTCCAACCTTGTTTTCAACAGACAGTTCCAATGTTATGGTCCCTCCTACTTCTTATATAAGTCACTTCAGCCTCCCAGCGAGGTTCACTCCCAATGCTAAGCCATAAGATGGTCTGCTTGGCTTGCATTAATATCATTATGTTTAGGTGAGATGGGTTGGGCTGAGCAAGAGGCTGGCCCCAAGTCCCCCAGCTGGCTTTCATGTCTAAGGGAAAACTAGAACTCACAGTCTCCTGGTTTCTAGGCCAGCACCTTCACTGCCACACCAAGCTGGCTCTCTCTAACATGATGTGTGTAGCTGGTCTATATCTCTTCTCCCTCCCCATTCCCTCCATCCCAGTAATACTTAGCTCTCAGCAGCTTTGAAGAAAAACACACAAATAAGACAACTATTTCCAAGAGGAAACTAGTCACTGCCTCTACAAAGAAAGGACCACCATTTATTACCTCTACAGGAACAAATCCAGCATCAGCCCCCCGGGGGCGCTTCCCTCGTGCAGGTGCCAGGTCGTGCCCACGTAGTGACGGCAGCCCCCGGGAGTCCACGACCGGGAGCAGGTCTGTTTCTGGCATACTTGGGCCTATCACTGGCTCCTCGATTCCAGCCGGTTCTTTCTCCTCCACCACAGGCGGCAGAGGCTCTCGATGTTCCTCCTATAGAAGCAGAGTGAAGATGCCAGTGACACTCAGGAGCCAGGAGCAGTACTTACTGCAGACAACGTTTTTCGTATAATCCTCCAAGGAAGCTCACTGGAGTGGTTCTAAGCTGTTTCCCTCCTTGGAGGTGAAGAAGAGGTTGGAAGAATGGACATGAGTACAAATCTAACCAGATGGGCTTCACCATATTACTCACCTCTTGTTTTTTCACCGGAGGGGAAGAATATACTGTAGGAGCCGCCTGGATGACTGTGGGGTTCACTTTTGGAGGGGTCACCACTGGCCGAGGAACAGGCACCAGTGGAGCCAAAGGGCCAACAGGAATTCCTGGTCCCACCTGGTCAACAAGGAGCAGAACACAGTCACGATACACTTCACAAACTCTTGTTTTAAAATTTTTTTACTCTTTTTTGAAATGTAACAGAAAAGAAAAACAATAACCAAATATAATGATTCACAGTACTAAACCAAGTATAACAATACACAGTACAAAAAGCAAAAACATGAAGATAATTACATTGTAGAGGAAAAAGAATTTTTTTTAAATTAAAAAAATTTAATTTTTAAATTAAAAAAAAAACAAAGTTAATACTTTGAAGGAGTTAAACAGTTAAAAACACAATGGTATTCAAGTCTTAAACAGCAGGCTAAACCTTGACCACATGGAATTATACTGATGAGATTTCCGACAGTGTCAGTAAAAAAATAAATTCATATGTAGGTAGTATAAAAGTGTCTCACATCAAGAATGTTAGGTCAAGTACAATGAAAACTATCAAACAGAGTAAAACAGTCTTCTTAGCTGCTACAGATACACAATAAATCTGGAGTTCTTTGTACTTCAACAGTATCAAATTTGGAATATAATTCAATGTCACATTTCTATCTTTGATCCTTATTTTTTTTCAAGCACCATGTTTTGCAAACTCAATGCTCTTTCTTCACCCTGTAACATGCCATATCTCCATGCCCTAGATAGGTTGGTACACCACACCAGACCTCGCCTTCCTTAATCACAGCTTCTAAAGAAACACTAAGCCATTAACCATGGTTTATAAACTACAATGGCTGGTTCCCTACAACATGCTAAGCTACCCTAATATTCTAGTTTGGTGCAAAGTGTGAACTCAGAATCAAATCAAAGCCAGATATGCTCCACAAAGATTTCTCCCTGGAAATACTTCTGGCATTTCAACAGGAAAAGCAGTTTTTTTAGGAGGAGTATGGCACAGAACTAACTGCAATATATATCCCCAGACATTCAAATAATTTCTTGGAATTAATCTGCCTACAATACTGGAAGACATAAAAACGATGTCCCGCCAAGAGCTGGGAGGCTGCCAGCTCTGCCGAAGGGAAACGAGGCACAACTGGAGCCGAGCCGAACATTGTTTTGTTCAGTTTTAATGACCCAGCTAGGCCTAAGAGCATGAAGAGTTAAGCAATTCTATGTGTCACTTAGTTCATTTAATTATTGTGCAGAAGACTGTAGACCAGTGTTTCTCAACCTTAGCGATTTTAAGATGGGTGGACTTCAATTCCCAGAATTCTCACCCCACCTACAACGACGCCGGTGGAGGGGGGAAAGGTGGGGTTCATTTTGTATAATCTAATTATCAATTGA